CACATCCACAGGGACTTAAATCCCTCCAGGAATGGGGACTCCAGCACTGCCTGGTCATCCCAGAATGGTTGGGTTGGAAGGGATCCTAAATCCCACCCCTGCCATAGCAGGGACACCTTCCACCATCCCAGGTGCTCCAGCCTGGCCTTGGGCACTGCCAGGGATCCAGGGGCAGCCACAGCTGCTCTGGCAATTCCAGCCCAGCTCCTCCCCACCCTCCCAGCCAGGAATTCCATCCCAATATCCCACTTGAACCAACTCTCTCTGAGATTAAAACTGTAAATGCACAGAGGTTCCTCGAGCTGGAATGATAATTCCACCATTATCCATTGCTGATGCCTGGAAAAGCACGGAAATCCTGCGAAAGGGGGAGACACCAATTTGATTTTTAAGTTTGTTTAAAGCAGTTTCACCACTAAACAAGTAAACATTTATAACTGAATAAATACTTTTTCACTTTAGTCAAGGAGCATTCACTGGCTGTTGGCATAAATATTCAGTTATGGAGATGATTGGATGGAAATAGATTTTTCCATGCCATAAATAAACATTGTCTGCAAGGAACACACTCCCAACAAGAGGCGTGAATTAGAGCCACTGGTGCCTCATGCCAGCCCTTGGGGATGTTTTATTTAGAAGCACTTCAGCTCACCACACAGCCTGATCCCATCTGCCTGGATTTTCCTGGGTGTTTATCCCGCCAGATTGTTAAAAACTTGGAGCAGAATCATGGAATCATCGAGTTGGAAAAAATTCTTGGGATCATCCAGTCCCAGCTGTGCCCGATGCCCACCTTGTCCCCAGCCCAGAGCTCTGAGTGCCACCTCCAGGAATTCCTTGGGCACTTCCAGGGATGGGCACTCCAAACCTCCCTGGGCAGCCAATTCCAAGGCCTGAGCACCTTTTCCATGGGGAAATTTTTCCTGGAAAATTTTTCCTGGAAAATTCTTCTGCCCCCTGTGCTCGGGGGCTCACCCCAGCGCTGGCACGGGGAAAGTTTAGCAGAGGACTGTGCTAAAGGAATAAATCAAATTATAAAGTGGGAATTTGGGATATGTGAGCATCACTGCAGTTCCAGACTGGGAATCAGCAGGGAGAAATCCATGGGATTTTCCCAAATCCATGGGATTTCCCCAAGTCTTTGGTGCTGGATGCAGGAGTGATGCTTCCCTCGAGCTCAGCACAGCTTCTGGCCCCACAAAGTGACACCCAAATGTCCCCAAGCTGAGTTTGGCTCTCCTAAAATGAATTTATGGATAAAAGCCCTTAGTTCAGGAATATTTGTGGTCCCAGAGAAGATGAGGAGAGCTCAGCAGGGGCTGGTGAAGATGCAGGTGAAAATCAGGGATAAAGTGTGCCTGTCTGGTTTGGGTGGGATTTTAAACTTTTTGCCCAAAATGACAGCACGTGCAGG